CGTGTCTGCCTGACCTTCGTATCCAATTATTAATCGGTCTTTCTTTTGTGCTCCAATAATCTTTTGCACTCACTAATTATAGTGTTTTCTTCACCATAATTTTTCATAACTGGCCCGTAACGGCATATGTCTATTCGACAGAATGTTTCTTTCTAAGTCCAGTAGTGTAAGCTGGCTAGCGGGTGGTGCCCTGAGAATAAACCGTTTAAGGTATAGTCAGTCTCCTTCTCTGACGTCAGGGGCTCGTCCTTGCTCACCTGCTGCGATGCAGAGCCCTGGGGAGGGCGCGGCGCTCCAAGCACCCTGGATAGAATGGGGGTTCAGAGCCACAGTCTGGAATCCTGTTTCTAACTGGATGTGACACACTACTTCAAGACCTGGGCTTCTTCGCCTGTGGATGGTGGCTAATAATCACATACGGCTCTTTTAAGGATCCTGTAGAAAGAGCACAGTGCCGGGTGCATTGTACGTATTAGCCATTACTACTTTGTTTACGGGGGTGATGTCTCAAGTGTTCTTTCTGAACATACCCGGATTAAAACATTCCGTGAAGATGTATCCTTTGGGCCTGCCTGTGAACCCACTATAAATGAGGATACGTGGAAGGGTCTTAGGACCATCGAGCTTGAAGATGAAGGTTAAGGGCTGTAGTATTACGGCGTGTCAGATCGGGAGAGATGGGCTCGTGCCTCCTCCCTGCTGTGTCCGTGTGCCCGGAAGTGCAGAAAGGAGCCTGGAGCCAACTTTGCTCAAGCGTTGGAGCCCGTGGACAGCATGTGCCTCGTGTCCGCACCGGGAGAAAAGAGCATTCCGGAGAGCTGTCGGGAGGGAAGACCCTTCCCCAGATGAGAAGGACCTGTAGCAGCGGGTGAGGTGGCCTGGGCAGGAGAGCCGGGCGGCCACAAGTGCTGGGCAGAAGGGGAGAAGGCCAGCACACGGGGCGCCGGGAGCCGGCGTGGGGCGGATGCGTGGGCTTTCTTGGCGGGGGAGGGGTCAGCTGAGCCAGCAAACGGGAATTCTGAAGCCAGAGCTCTGGTGGTGTCACTGCAAGGGGCTCCTGGCGCTTTAGTGCACGGCAGAGGGATTGATTGCAGAACAGGAAATAGTGCAGGTGCATGCTTTCATTCATGTTTCAGTGTTAATGGAGAAAAAAATTCCCGTTCACCCTAACAACACAAAAATTATTCCTGATTTTGTATATTGCATTTTAGTCTGTGTTCACATGTGACTTTTATATAATTGCATGCCATTTTCTCTTCTGCTTGTAACATTTAATGCTTTCATAACATTTTTGGTATTTATAATTGCTCTTTATCATGACTAAAAAAAATTTTTTTTAAATGTTTATTTTTGAGAGAGAGAGACAGAACTTGAGGTGGGGGGGGGGCCAGAGAGAGAGGGAGACACAGAATCCGAAGCAGGCTCCAGGCTCTGAGCTGTGAGCACCGAGCCCAGTGCAGGGCTCGAACTCATGAGCTGTGAGATCATGACCGGAGCCGAAGTCGGACGCTCAACGGACTGGGCCCCCCAGGCACCCCATTTATCATCTTAAAGCTACACGATGCTCCATAATTTTTGTTGTTCATTTATGCTTTGAGATAGAGTTCAAGAAATCAAATTATTTCAATTTCAACATTTGTATAGTTCCTATTAACATTTTGTAATACATCTTTTGAAAGAATTCTTCAGATGTACGACATGTATTGATTTTCCCACAGCCTTGCTGGTATGGGTCGTCACCACTCAGTTGGCATCACGGAATTCTTACTTCAAAATTTTTAAGTCATCAGATACAGGGGCGACTGGGTGGCTCAGTCAGTTAAGCACTCGACTTCAGCTGAGGTCATGATCTATGAGTTTGTGAGTTCGAGCCCCGAGTCGGGCTCCGTGCTTACAGTTCAGAGCCTGGAGCCTGCCTTGGATTCTGTGTCTCCCTCCCTCTCTCTCTGCCCCTCCCCCACTGGAGCTTTCTCTCCCTCAAACCAATACATAAACTTGAAAAAAGTAAGTCATTGGATATACTAATGAACTTTTCTCCCTTTAGAATTTTGTGCCTCTACTCACTTTAGAGGACTCGTCTGTAAGGTGTAGCCTTACAGCCGGATGCCTCTTGCCACTCGGGCACACCCCCACCCCCACCCCGTACCCACGGGACCGCCACCGCCATCTTCTCCAGTGCCCACAGCCCGTTTTGTGAATATGCCACCACTTCCGTGCCCCCTTCCGGGCACGGACATCTGGGCTGTGTCCCGTTGTTGGCTCTCATGAGTGAGGCTGCGGTGGGCACTCTGGTGTGTGTCTTTTGTCTGGGTGTCTGTGGGGCGCAGACCGAGCCGTAGGCTACTGGGTCGTAGGCCACATATGTGTTCAACTTTACTAAGTGCTGCCCAAGATTTTTCTCAGTAATGACTTAATTATTTAATAAGTATCAATAGCTTTTTAAATGTGTAACATATCCACGGAGGGAGAAGATGTTTATAGGTAAAATTCCCTCACATGTGGAAAGGAGAAAGTACAATAAACCTTCGCTTTAAAATTTTTTTTTTTCAACGTTTATTTATTTTTGGGACAGAGAGAGAACGAAATGAAAACGGAGGAGGGGCAGAGAGAAGGAAACACAGAATGGGAAACAATCCAGACTCTGGCCATCAGCCAAACTGACGTGGAGCTCGAACTCCTGTTGGAACCGAGGAGACCGACCGACCTGGCGCGAGGAGTCGGACGTACCAGCACAAACGCTTCTGACCAGCCCGCCTGGCGCTAAACCGCCGCCATTTTAAGTGCGTGGCACGATGGGAAGCGCCAGTTGGCGCAGTCAGTTAAGTGTCTGACTTTGGTTCAGGATCTGATCTACATGGGTTTACGGTAGTTGATTGAGCCGCGATGGAAACTCTGTGCCTTTGTGACTGACTGGGGAGCCCTGGAACCCTGCTTCCAGACTGTTCTCCCTCTCTCTCTGCCCCTCCCCTGCTTATGCTCTGTCTGTCTCCCTCTCTTTCAAAAATAGACATTAAAAAAAAAAAATTTTTTTTTTTTATTTTTTTTCAACGTTTTTATTTATTTGGACAGAGAGAGACAGGCATGACAGGGAAGGGCAGAGAAGAGACAACAACCTAAATCAGGCTCCAGGCCCAGCATCAGACCATCAGATCAACTGACGCTCACCATGGACCACGACCGTGCCGGCTGAAGTCGGACGCTACCTATACAGCCGAACCCAGCTCGAAAAAAATTTTTTAAAAGGTGACAAGGCCAGGCCTATTTCATCTAACACACATATAATCTGTAATGTGCCAATTCATGAAAACACTCATTGTGTCTGAGAGAAGGATTACTACTGAAAGTAGTTTTAAACATAAAAACAAGCAGGACTGATTTTTTTTTTTTTTTTAATTTTTTCACAGCGTTTATTTATTTTTGGGACGAGAGAGACAGAGCATGAAGGGGAGGGCAGAGAGGGGTGACACAACTGAGCAGGATCTAGGCTCCAGGCTCTGAGCCATCGGCCAAACCCGACAGGGCTCCCATCCCCGCGGGACAGCAATTTGACCTGGCTGAAAGATGGGGCGTAACCCGACTCTCGCCCGCAAGCATGCTACTGGAGACGATTTTTAAGCTCTTCCCCCAGAAGAGGGGGGCAGGTCGAGCAGGCACTGGCTTCACTGTGCCAGGTTGGGCATGGCTTTGGTTTCCCACGATCCTCTGTCCTCTGTGTGCATGTGAGAAACTGAGGCATGGTGTCCCACTGGCTTGTGGTGTCGGTGGTGGGATTTGAATTCTGAGTCCGGAGCTGTCCCTCAGGGCGACTGGAAGCCACGACGGACAGAGCGAGGCTCTCTGGAACAAGGACAGTGTGGAGGCTTTTGGATGTCATGGAAACATTTCTTAAAATAGCGTTGTTTGTTCTGATTGCAAAGTAACACATATTAATCACACACAAAAGAAGTTAAACACACAAACAAACCCCAGCGAAGGACAGGAACACCTGCCATTATCCCCCACCCAGGGGAAGCTGCTCACCTCCTGGTTCTTTGCTGGTTTGGGCGTGCTTGCTCTTTAAACGAAAGCTGCACGTAGCATGCACACAGTTCTTGGTTCGTTCTTTCCCCTTAACTGTATGTTACGGACCCTTTTCCGTGGCACTAAATAGTCCTTTGTAGCGTGCTGAATGGCTCCACGGTATTACGTTAACAGTCAGATACTACAATTTATGTGAACAATTCCCTTTCGCCAGACATCAGGTGACTTACAATTTTTCATCGTGATGATGCCACAGTGAGTGCGCCTGGACGCAAATCTTCATGAACACCCAGGAATATCTTCTTCATGTAAATTTATTTTTCAAACAAATGTTTTATTTTTCTCATTGACATGGGTACTGATAAAAGTGTGAACGTGAAAATCCTTTTATTCCTCTAAAATTTATCCAGAAAAGCACGGAGGTAGCGGATTTAACTTTTCGTGGCTAAAATGTAATACTCTCGTGTATATATCGTGTGATTGTTACAGCTGTTGGACTCCTTTGTGGGACGTGTAAGGTGTGCGAACGTGTCACGCCATCTCGCCCCTCCCCCCCCCCCCGTGGCTGCCCCCTCGGGTGTGGGCATCTCAGCTCTGCCCAGGCAGTGGCTCCCTGAGTTCCGTCCCCTCCACTAAGCCGCATGCAGGGTTCGAGGCTCATTGGCGGAACCTCTGACAGCTCTGGGCCTGATGCTGGCCAACTGAGCCACTTGGGGACAGAGCTTTAGGTGTCTTGTGTCTTTAGGACTGGAAATGATGGGGCAGTGTTACGTAGCTTGCAATCTTAAAGATCCTCTGCAGGCGTTTCAGACTTGTCTTTCGAGCAAGCACAGTCAGGTGGACTCCCAGAAGTGTGTGCTCCCAGTGTGGTAAGAACAGCAGTGAATTGCAGGGGTAAAGCTGCATTTGATTAGTTGGGATTGCTGTGTTCAGTTAAGGGACAGGGGAGGTGCTGATGTGCTCCTTTATTGTACTTGCAGATCCACATCATCGATTTTGATGACGAAAATAACATTATCAATAAGAATGTCCTCCTCCATCAAGTGGGTGAGATCTGGCACATTAGTGCCAGTCCTGCGGACAAAGGTGTGCTGGCCACCTGCTACAATAAACGTGAGTATTCTCAGGTAGCTCCACGCATCCACGAGCTGGGCCTCACGTCGCTTGGGGATCAGTGCACGGTTTACAAGATGTGATGATCGGTCAGGGTGCTGCGCTCACAGAGAAGTTGTGTTTCTGCAGGTGGATGCTTGTTGCGGTTAATAGGACCCAGAATCCCGGCTCGTCCCGGCACTGTGACCCCTCGGGGCTGGGCAGGGACGTGCGGGGGGTCCTCGAGGGGCAGAGGTTGGTGTGCTCCTAAGTTAGTTAACTGTGCTGCTCACAAAGGGCAGCCGGTTTGTGCCTCGTTGCCCGCATGCGACGCCCGTTAAAGGGTGAGGAGAGGGCAGGACGTCGTCTTCAGTGACGCCTTCCCCACGCACAGCACACACGCGTGTTGGGTGTCCGTGCTTCTCGACCAGCTTCTGCCCGGTCTGCTGTTTGCCGCTCCCGTCTCTGGGACCTTCGACGTCTGTGTCCATCCAGACGTCTGTGACGCCCAGCCGGCCACGCGTCGTCTCCATTGTCCGTTCTGTCACTGTCAGTAAGTGGTGTTCAGATTCCGGCTTTGGGGAAGAAGCTCACGTTCCGTGTTTCTCCATAAGCCAGAATAAAGGGTGCTCCATGCTGTGTATGTTCTAGACCGCTTCCCTCGCTCACGCAGTGTGCTGGGTACTTGTGAGCGCCCCACGGTCTCGTGCCCCACACTCTGTCTCCTTCTTCCTTCCTTCCCCAGCCGCGGATGTTAGTGTGTGGGGCTGACTTCTTCCGTCACCAGCCAGGCTCCCGGGACACCCCGCTTCCAGAAACCTCTGCTTAGATTGTCTGTTCCCACGGGTTCTCCGTAGGGGTCTTTCTGTGTGACTTCACTTGCACCTGTGTTTAACACTTCTTTTCTTCGCGGTAAAAAAGTTGCTTTCTGAAAGGTCTTTTCCCCCTGAGCCTCTTGCGTTCTTTATCTCTTACTCTTAGCTTGGACTTGCCTCATTCCGCCGAGAGCAGCCGCTCAGAGCCCACTCCGACCTTGCCTCCTCCCCCGTCCTCAGTGTTGGGCTGGGGCCCCCTTCTTGTTCCCGTATCTCAGGCCAAAGTCATCGTGTCAGCTGGCTGTCACAGCCGGAGTCCTCCCGGAGCGCATTTGGGATGTACTTACGTCCACGCCCCCACGCCCCAGCGCACTTGGTGTTCACGGTCAGAGTGCGTTCCCTGTGACGGCCCGGTGCTGTTCCATGTAAGGCCCGCTGTCCCTGCACATGGCTGCAGGTCCGTTGTCCCCTTGCCACCCGGTAGTGTGCCTCTGCCTCCACCCGCCCTTACGGAGCCCCCTGCCTTGGTTGGAGATTGCTAGAAGTTTCTGCGAGTGAAAACAGAGGTGGTCCTCTTCAAGAAAAGCGACCTTCAACCCAACTTTCAAAAGGGGACCAGTTCCCCTTCTGATTAACTTAAGCTCAGCTGACCTTGATTTTACCTCCCGAGCCCTGTTGCCCCTGCCGTCAGACGCAGCAGTGTCGCGGGAGTGCTGTCCTGGCACCTGCACCTTCCGCTGTCCCTTCAAAGCAGGGCGTTGATCTTGCCTGCGCTCGTGGGCAGCCGGCTGCAAAAACGTGTCCCACTGTGGTGGCTGTCACGCGCCCCTGGCGTATGTGAGCAGTGCCTGCCGCCCCAGGGGCCACGACCCTCTCCTGGGCAGAGCACGGTTGTCACCTCAGACCCTCGGCCACGACGGCCCCTGCCCGGGGCACGGGCACCAGTGCAGGGTCAGTTCTGGGCGTGCGTGTGGCTTCTGGGTGTAATCTGCTGTCAGGTCAGCGCCTGAGCCATGTTCCCCTCCATCTGTGGCCCGTGGAGCTGTGACGTCATCTGCCCGTCACAGGGCGCTGGGACAGGTGTGGGGTAACAGCTGTTGACGTTTTGTCCACACGGGAGGGTGGGGGCTCAAAGCAGCCGCTGGCCACCACTGTTCCTAAAGGCAGACGCCACTGGAGGGTCCGGGGTGGGTTCGGCCCGGCGCCCCGTCCGTCTCTGCCCTGCAGGCTCTTGGGCCTGCGCCCCGGCTGTCCTCGCGGCTTGGTGGAGCCGCCGGCACGTGGGCCGGGGACCAGCGCCAGCCCATCCCTGCGTCTGGTGCAAGCTGGCAGGTGAGCTGGGTTATGCAGGCTGTCAGACCCAGCCGTGTGCACAGGCCGCCCTGAGACAGTCCCTTCTCTGCCAGGGACCTGCAGGGGTGGCAGGAGCCCGCACCCTGTCCTTGCGCCCTCCAGCCTCCTGAACGGACCCCTCCTGTCCCCGTGCTCTGGCCTGTTGTCCTCTGGACGTGGCGAGCGTGGGGCGGCCCACCCGGGCCCTTTGCCGCGCTTTCCTGACGGCGAGACTCGTGAGGTTAGCCACCGCTCCTCCTGGAGGGGTCGAGTGCTCACGGCCACCGATCTGGCTTCCTTTGTGCTACTGTGGCCGCCCTCCCTCGGTTCCTTCTCTCCCCTTCCAGAGTCGGCAGCAAGACACAGGCCGGGCTGCCGTGCGCTCCCGGGGCTCCGGCACGCACAGCCCGCCATGCCGCTTCCGTGTCTGCTGCGGCGGCACTGGGTTTCTGCTGCCTCGTGACGAGGCCCCTCCGTCCTCTTTCCAGAACGTTCCCCGTCTGGGCCTCCGCTGGCAGCGTCTCGTGTGTGCCTGTGTCCTCTAGCAGGCTGTGCAGGGCAGTCTGTCCTCCTCCCCAGGATTCTGGCAGCCTGCACTTACGTCCCCGGGCCCCTGTGGTTTTGTGCGCTGCACAGGAAGGTGCCACGGACACGGCATGTCGTCCCCTGCACCGTCCCCATGGTCGCGAGGCGGCTCGGCCGCGCTGGTTCTCTGTCGGGGCCTCAGGCCTGCGCCCCGGGTGTCGGGTCCACTTCCTGGCAGAACTGGGCCCCAGGTCCCGGGTGTAGACGGGAGCTGGCCGTCAGCCGGGCTGTGGGCAGCTGTCGGGTTAAGCCCCAGGTTGGTGGTGGCCTCGCCCCGGCTGTCTGCGGGCGGGGGCGGGGCGCTTTGCGGTCGGGGCCTCGGGAAGCCCGGCCTGCTCTGCCGCGGCTCCATGCTGGCGGCCAGCCCTTCTGTGCCGTGCTTGCCTCATCCGGCAGCCTCTCTGGGAAGAAAGACCCGTTTCTCGTGGCGTTCGTGGCGCAGTCCTGGGAGCTCAGCTCTCTCCTGCCACAGGCAGGTCTCCGAGGTTTCGGTCCTGCGGGGCACGCTCATTGCCATCGAGAAATGCCGCCAACGCTCTCCGGCTCTCGCTCCCCTCCACCCCGCGCGGCCCCAGCCCCTCGAGCTCCGAAGCCCTTCGTGGCTCCCACCTGATCCGCACCGCTGGTCCGCGCACGTCCCGCTCCTGGCATGAGGCCCAGACGGCTCCCGTCAGATGCCTCCGGAACAGCTCAGTCAGGGTGTATGCTCGCCCTGCGGGCTTCGTGCCCGGCGCAGGCTGCAGAGCGAGTGCGCGTGTGCGTGCTTGCACGTGGACACGCGTGGGCCGGGCTCTGCTCTGAGCTCCCCACCGGTCGTGGGGCTTCCGCACCGCAGCGCGTCACGCGTGGCTCTGGCCCAGGGTGACCCAGACTTGGGTTAAAGGCTGCAACCACACTGTGCCCTTTGACCCCCAGCGATGCTGGTCTCGTATCGTGCTGCCCCCCCCTTAGCGTCTGGGCTGGTCGGGGGCTCTGTGCAGGTGTCACCACGTGTCCCGGTCGTGGTCATCTTCTGGCTCGTGGGTGTCAACACCGCAGAGACCCACCTGCCCTTCGCTGCCCCTCACGCGCATGTCCGTGCCCTGCTTGGTTCCTCTTTCTGTTCCCGTCGGTCTCCGCAACATTCCGGGCAGCGGGAGCATCTTTCAATCGAGAGACCGCGGGCCTCCGAGCCATGTCCCCAGGCCCTGAGTCTTCCCGCCAGTGGAGGGGCCGCTGAGGGCAGAGAGCGGGAGGGAGGGCCGACGGGCAGAGGTGGCGCGGGTCCCAGGGCTGGGGGGACCTGTTTCTAGCAGAGAATTGTCCCGGTTTAAGGCTGTTGTCTGCGTCCCCTTCACTCGTGTCCTGAAACTCTTCCCTGTGGATCTTACTGGGTGGAGGAGGAACGGACCAGGCAAAAGTGGGCTTGTGTGCGGCATCAGGAAACGGAACCCACGTGGCACGGTGTCCTCTCCTGGAGCATCTGGGCATCGTGTTTGTCGTGAACAACTGTGTCTAAATTACATGCATGTGGTGCGGCGTGCGGACTGCCTCTCGAATTGGTGGAAGTCTGCACTGTGGTAGAACTCCTGTGTGTGTGCACACACACACACACTCACACACATTGGGACATCACAATGGCCTTGTCAGTGAAAGTGCGGAATTGGATTGACTCGCAGCTCATTTTAAAACATGCAGACGAGGACCTTCTCTGCTTACCTTGTCTCGTCCTTCCCAGGAGCGGTGCCAGACAGCAGCTCTGCTCGTACAGCCCGAGTAGCCACCACCTGCAGGCAGAAGCCTCTAGAGTTACATTCTCTTCGCGCTGTCCAAGCAAATGACCGTGGACTGGCTGTAGGCTAACGTGATGTAAATACTCCTGCTTCTCTGCTTCCGGACGCCACACCCGCCTGTGCTGGCTTCCGTCCGTGTCGTGTAGGAGCAAGCGAGGGGTGTGGACTGTCACAGACTGTCCCTAGGGATCTGTGGTTGCCGCCGACGTGATGGTGGCCCTCACCCGGGACAGTTAGGGAGCCGTGTCCTCGGAGTGTGGGTGGTGGGGGCAGACTTGCATGACAGTGAGCTCTTCTGGGTCTTTCTCTGTTTTTCTGGGAGCAAAACGCCAGCTTCCGTTGCTGATAGTTTCACACGGAGGATGTGTCAGCATGGGGGACAGCTTTCCACGTGTGCACAGCCAGGGCACGTGGGAGGAGGGAGGTTGTACTGCAGAGCCCGGACGGTAGGCGTGGGGCCCCCTCGGGGGACAGCGGGCCACACTGCAGACGAGGGCCGCCTTCAGTCCTCCCCCCG